TGAAGGTGGTGCTGGCGCTGATTCTGCAATTGGAATAGAATTTATAACTGCTTGATTATCACTATGAATGTTTGAGATGAATCAATTCATAAGGATCACCAATGCGTCGTAATGTAGACGTAGACGTAACAGTTTCTAATGAGCATGATGGAGCATCAGCAACTGACGTATATTCGGGCTGAAATATAAAGATTATTAATTGAATCGAATTAAATATAAAGATTATGAATGATAAAATGATAAAATCAAAAACAACAAACAACTGACATTATTATAATAATCCACGTCGATCATCCACTTAATTTTCTCGGTGCGCAGTCTCTCGATGGCTTCATTACCTTCGGCATCGTCACCATCCACCTCGGCACCCTGCCCCGTGCCCATATCATCATTCTGAGCCTCGCAATCCATCCTCTCCCTCTCACTCCTCAATTTAAAACGAAATCTGCGATTGGTGACCGTATGTAAATCGCCGTCCTCCAATAACTTCTCCTTCCAGTACAATAGTTTACGATCGTCTTCATCCTACAATGAACAGTACCCTAATGAATGAATGCACTTGTCATCACAATAAACCTGCTGTTGTTTAAGCCAGTGTCGATGCAACTCCGATTTGATGTTATCCAAGTCGATATTCTCATCGTTATCACCCTCTTCCGCTTCATACTCATCATTATCGCTGTCGTTGTCGTCATCGTCCACTCCATTATCAACATCATCCCCCGATAGCGATGCCTCATCATCCAAATACTCTTTTGTCCTTTAAATGATTATTCTTTCTATTAACCATAATTCACGTCAACTTAAAAATAACCATTTGTATTTGTCGTTGCGAGATGCTGCTTCCTTATCGTTCTCCTGGATCCTTTTGAAGACTCGTAACTCATCGTCGCTAGAATCCACATCCGTATCACTCGCGCTGTCACCATCTTCAACACCACTCGATATCCCCTTGAACACCCAACTTTATTAATAACTCGATATCATCAATTAAGGATAGTCAAGAACAAAATTACTTCTGAGTTCACATCTTCAGAATCGTGTTCGTTTTGATCGCATTCATCATCGTCATCGATTATCTTTTTGCTTTTCTTTTTCCTTTTCCTTTGCAACTCACCTTAATTTAATTCAGTAAGAATTAAATCATTATCAGTTAACTGAATACGATGAGGCGATAATATAAATAAACTGACGTTTGTTATCGTTATCGTTATCGCTGTCACTACCATCTTCATCTGATGATGACAATAATAATGACGAAACTCCTCTATCTTTTTCACAATCATTTGATAGAATGCTGAAAATTGAACAGATATNNNAATAAGCTTAAATGAGATTAATGAACAACCAGGCGTCCGGAGTTTGTGGTGAACAGGCGTCGATGAATTGACCAGAACAAACATTCAAGAGACTTGCTTCAGATTCAGGTTTATTCAGAGCATGTTCCACTGATAATAGCACGTCCTTTATGCTGCGTTCTCCTTTATTCACTTCATCGGATGGATGATTCGATTTTGCTACTTCTTCAGTTCCTTTAATAATGTTCAGTGTTTATTTAATGAATGCTTCTCAGCCATCATCACATTCATTTTCTCATTATAACATAAAGCAACCTTTCAGATCGACGTCATTC